GAGGTGGATGAGATTTGGATGGAGTTCCTCAAAGTTCTGGATGTTGTGGGGCTGCGTTGGTTAACATTGCGTGGACATCAGGGCCGCTTTATTGGCAGATTAAAAAGGATTAAAAAGGGGGACCGAAGGGTGTGTTCCAACTACAGGGGGATCACGCTCTTAAGCCTCCCTGGGAAGGTCTGTGAGCGCGAAGCGGCTGGGATGAGGATCAGTGCCTCCAAGTCAGAGACCATGGTCTTTCACCAGAAAAGGATAGAGTGCCTTCTCCGGGTCAGAGGGAACGTCCTTCCCCAAGTGGAGGATTTCACGTACCTCGGGGTCATATTTGCGAATAGGGGTAGGGAGCGTGAGATCGATAGGTGGATAGGTGCGACGTCGGCAGTAATGCGGGCGCTGTACCGGTCTGTCGTGATGAAGAGAGAGCTGAGCTTAAAGGCAAAGCTCTCGATTTATCAGTGAGACTTTCTTCTCTGCCAGCTCGCTCAGTCAGTGGAAAGCGCCTGGACATCTTAGACAAGTTAACGTTTGGGATCAGACTTGGAAAGCAGGTATGGTAACAGGACTTTGAAGTTTTCAGAGGTGCTTCCCAGCCAGTCATTCTTGGTTTTGATTTCCTGCTGCAACATCATGTCTTCCTTGACATAAGAAACGGAGTACTGCAACTTTGGGACATGAAAATTTCTCTCCTGCCCAAAGGACATTAAGTGGCTACCTGCAGTAATGTGTCTGTGTTAGGGTTCCACTAAGATTCCATCTATGAGTGCAACCCTCATCACAGCCTGTGTGTCAGCAGCTACACCTGCTTCCCCTATGCCAACTGACTACTGTGGTGTTATCATGCCCAACCCCTCCTGTGGCATCATAGTGGCACACTCTTCAGTGAGGTTCAAAATGGCCACAAGTCAGCCTCAAGTCTCCCCAATAATATTTCACAACTCATGAATCCCTTTTCAGATGTAAATGCACCATTAGGGCTGTCGTTGGAGAACCATTCCAGCCCTTTCAGTTTGACTTTTTGCTCAAGCCTCTCTGTTGACATGTGTTTTACCTTAGAGCGGGGGGGGGGGATCATATTTGTAATTAAATATAACTAGGTCTACGTCATCAGTGTCACCAACACCGGAATGATTTCAGACAGCAGAGACACCAGCGCAATGATCAGACGATAACTGATCTTTACAATGAAAATGGCTTAATGAGCTGGAACGGGAGAGGGAAGGCAAGAACATTCATACAATAATGACCATCTGCCCTATTCACTAGAGGGCAAACATACAGTGGGGAGAACAAGTATTTGATACACTGTTGATTTTTTAGGTTTTCCCACTTGCAAAGCTTGAAGAAGACTGTAATTTTTATCATAGGTACTCTTCAACTGTGAGTGATGGAATCTAAAACGAAAATCCAGAAAAATACAATGTATGATTTTTAAATAATTAATTTCTATTTTATTGTGTGAAATAAGTATTTGATCATCTATCAACCAGTAAGAATTTTGGCTCTCACAGACATGTTAGTTCTTCTTTAAGAAGCCCTCCTGTTCTCCACTCATTAGCTGTATTAACTGCAACTGTTTGAACTCGTTACCTGTATAAAAGACACCTTTCCACACACTCAATCAATCAGACTCCAGCATCTCCACAATGCCCAAGACCAGAGAGCTGTTAGGCCATAGGCTAGCTATTCTATCATGTCATCCCGTTCCAGTATTATGGGTAATAAAATCTGTTTATATTGTCTTAAAGTTTATCATACCAGCAAGCTTACATTCAGTTTCCACACGCAGAAATCCTGCAGTATTTTAACAATTCAAGCGTGAAGTTTGCACTAACTTTCCGTCCGCCATATGCAAATGATGTGAACTGTTCACATCCCGGATATAGTTCTGACCAATCAGCGCATGGCGATTACTACGCCACGACGTCAGTGAGAAGGCTGGCATGTAAACAAAGATGGCTGCGCCCTGTAAGCAGCAGCGTGGATCGCATGATAAAGACGAAAATCCTGTTTGCTGCATGCACATATTAGATAATTGTATCGAAAATACCTGCGTTATAACTCGAGCAAGATGGGACACCTTCAGAAAGATCGCAAAAGAGTGGATATCGCTGAAAGGGAGAGAGTGCAATGCCGTGTTGTCGATCGTACACACGTTGGATAAGGAATACAATGAACTGGAAAAGCTGCCCTACTATCATCCCTCCTGTTACAAACGGTTTACAGACAATCGGCAAATGTTCTACGCCAAGAAAAGACAGCAACAAACACAAGAATCAGCTAGTAGCGGTGAGTACATTCATATTATTATTGAGATCTTGTGTAGCCTTCATAAAGCCGAACATATTACTTTTAGGTCATCAATTAAATTCAATTATCAACACAAGTCAGCTTAGCTACAGCAAACAGAGACAAATTACAAAATGAAATGAAATAAAGATATACAATCAGGGATTTGAAGGCCGATTTGAATATAATAGATTATATCAGATTAAATGAATCAATAATTCATGCATTTTTTGTGCCATCCTCATCATAATGATCATGGACCAGATTATTTTCTGATTGGCCTAAAAAGGCTGTAGGCATGACAAGTATATGTTGTTAGATTTTTTAACCATTGTCAAAATCATTAGCCTAATGACACAAAAATATAAAGAGAAAAAGTGTAGCAAACACTACATAGGCCCTACAGTGAATGTTGTTGTTTTGATCTTACTATGAAGACGTGCATGGATCAGAATGGCAGTTTGTTCTTGTTCGATAGTCTAGTACATCTTTGGTTAGTGAATGATTTAACCTATGAAAATGATTTCTGAAAGCTATTCATTATTCCATATTTATATAAATTTTTACCGGGTATTACTGTTTTATTTCCAGATAGTGCTGGTCCATCTCCTAAAAGATTGCGTTCCAAAGGTGACATACGGGTACATGGTTCGTCTGCAATTCTTCCCGAAATCTGTTTGATTTGCAAGAGGAAGAATAATTTCATCACAAAACAGGGGAAAAGAGTAAAGGACAAGTTAGCTAAAGCAGAAACTGCAAATTGTGGTAGGTTTACATCTTGTATTGTACTTGGTGTGAGTTGTGGTTATCTATTTTCAGTGTCTTAATTCATTATTTTGAAAATATAATTGGTAACACAAATGCAATATAACAGAATACCATTTAAAATTATTATAAGTATGTAGACATTAAGATTATCATTTGGCAAATGTTTTGCCATCATCCTTACCCTGGTCGAAACATAGTAATAATATTTTCTTAAATGAGTTAGAATTATCATAATAATCTCGAATACATATGGACTCTTTTCCATTATTTTGAATTCAACCTTCAATCAAATTAATTTTGTATTTTATCCTTTTACATTTTATTTCTTTTTGTGCTTATAAAAATACTAGATAGACTATGTGTAATCACTTTTCTTTTTTTATTAAACAAAGGCCTGACCAGTTTTTTTTGCACATTGTAAGGTGCTGTTTTAAGTGTACTTATTTGAATTTTTATAATTCTTTCCAGGACGACTTCGTGATGCAGCAGAACTGAAACACGACGAGTCTATTCTAATGCATATACGGGATAAAGACTGTGTTGCAGTTGAGGCCAGGTACCATCATAGCTGCTATCAGTCTTACATTCGCTTTCTTACCAAAAGTCAAGATGAAAGTTCAGTGAGATATGTATCAATGACAAATTCAGCATTGAACCTAAATGACTCTAATGAAATCATTTGTGTGGCCAAAATGGTCCACATATTTTGCTTACTAATATGTGATATAGATCTAAGCATGCCTCTTGTTCACATAACCATATTGTGATAAAGAGTCCTGATACTGATGTTGCAGTAATGGCCTTATCACATAGTACCTCGATGCAAGCTAGTCTTTACTTCATCACTGGGACCAAAAACAAACTAAGGATGATAGATCTCAAAAGGATTGCCAACACTTTGTCCTTAGAAGAATGCCAGTCTCTAATTGGTCTCCATGTCTTCACCGGTTGTGATTCTGTCAGCTCCTTCTATGGAAAGGGTAAGGGAAAAACATTCAAGATTGCCATCAGTGACACAGAGTTTATCAAAGCCTTTTGTGACCTCGGAAACAGCTTTGATATGGATGACAACACACTGACCACTTTAGAAAGATTTGTGTGTAAACTTTATGGACAGAATGTGGAAAGTGTGAATGAAGCCAGGTACTGTGTATTTCGAGTCAGCGGGAAGTCAACTGAGCAAAGTCTACCACCTACCTCCGATGCTCTTAAATTGCACACACTAAGGGCTAACTATCAAGCTGCCATTCATCGTCGTGCTCTGCAGCCAGTCATATCTGCACCGTCACCAGATGGCCATGGTTGGAACATCCACGAAAAACAGCTGTCCATCAATTGGATGACCAATGATCCTGCTCCTAAAGAGGTGCTTAAACTTATTAGCTGTAAGTGCAAAACTGGACAATGTGACACTAAACGATGTTCATGTAAATCTTCCAACCTTAAATGTACAGATTTATGTGGGTGCAAGAACTGTCAAAATGTTACTGGAGAATAGGAGATTCTGTCTAGTGATGATAGCGAGGATGATGATTGTACAATCTAGTCTGAGGGATAGAGACATTTGGCACCAACCAATAGACTTTGTGGTCATAATTGACATTGATAATGATGCCTTATTATACCTTGTAGATTTTGTAATTTTTTTCTTAATATTAAAATTCCTATTGATTGTGAAAATTGAAGTGTTTACCTTTATTGAGATAATTGCAGTTAAAGATGCTATTGTTGGAGGCCCAAAATTTCCAAATATGTTTAAACCACACCTCCAATACGTCCGATATTTTAGGGGTTGATTATTTGTAGGACCCTCCACAGATCTACCAAGTTTGAATTGTCTGGCTGTATTTCTTTTGGAGGAAGTTAAAGATTCTATTAGAGGCCAGAAATCTAAAAATTACATGCATTTTCCAAATAAGTTTATTTCAGAACCGCTTTTTCAAACAGGCCAATATTTAAGGGACTATAATTTGTAGGACCCTTTACAGATCTACCAAGTTTGAAGTGTGTGGCTTAATTACTTTTAGAGATAATTGAAGTTAAAGATTCTATTAGAGGCCAGAAATCCAAAAATTACATGCATTTTCCAAATAAATATTGGCCGGTTTGAAAAAGCGGTTCTGAAATAAACTTAAGGGACTGAATATTTGTAGGACCCTTTGCAGATCTACCAAGTTTAAAGTGTGTGGCTTAATTACTTTTAGAGATAATTGAAGTTAAAGATGC